GTCATTTAACCCTATGGCGCCAATCAAAACAACAATAAAAACGAAACAAAAAAAAAAGTTCTTTCACGAAATCAACAAATTTTTCCTTATTTCGTTTTGTCGTTTCATTTATCGATGTGTATTGTGTAACAATATTGTCTCCGTTATAATGGTAAATAATGGCGTCTTGTTTCTGTGTTTTTTGCCTGTGTGATATATATGATGACGCCGACGACGACAACGATGATAACAACAACAGCAATAATAATTGATAACTATGATTAAAATTATTGCACCTAAATATCATCATAATGATCACAACCAAAAAAAAACGTAAAACTAACAATCAAAAAAAAGAAAGAAGAGAAAGATAATGAAGAAAATAAAAAAAAATATAATGAAAAGCAAAACCAGATAAACCAGACAAAACTAGTCGATTGTGTAATTTTCGTTGTTGTTGTTGTTGTTGTTGTGGACATGATAATTGTAAATGAATTCCTGAAAATTTCTTTTTCTCTTTAATCTTAAATGTCGACTATAATAAATTGATTAAAATTATGATAACGATTCAGCTGAAGCAATCAATTTGAAAAACTATTTGAATGAATTACATCACCATTGTCATCATTAATATAAACAATCAAACAAAAAATCTGGTCATACACACAAACTGGAAAAATAAAAATTATGCAATAAATTCTGTATTATGTAATGATAAATCTTTCAAATTAACAAAAACAAATCATTTCTTGGTAATTAGACTTTTTTTTGAAATAATATTTTTAAAAGGTTTTGTTCTCACTTGTAAACGAAAAAAAAAAAACAAAATGATAATAAAAATAATTTTAAATTACACAACTTTTTTTCAATTTAGTTTTCATTGATTTGATTATCATGAATCAATAAGATTTTAGATTGTAAATGATCATTCATTATAATTAATTCGGAAATGATAATATTTTTCTAAAACAAATTTTGATGATCAGGTGATCAATCATTTTGAACATTATTACAAATTGATGAAATATCTTTCTTCCGAGTTTAGTTTTTTGTTTTTGTTTTTTTACTTCGTCATTGATGATGATATTATTTAACAATATTGAACAAATTATGTAATTTTTTTTTTACTTTTGTCCATTCATCACTTTCTTCTTCCGTCTATGAAACAAATTAAGAGATTTGTTTTTTGCTTTCGTTTAATATCAACAGAAAAAAAGGTTGGCCAACACATAAATTTGTCTTTACACGATTTTGATGTGCCCTTCTCGCTCTCATTTTATTCACATTTGACTTTTTGTTTTGTTAAATGTTTTCTTGCATCTTACATTTATATTCAAACAAACACACGCATACACATTTGTATGATACAGGAAGAGGAAGTTTGACATTGAAAATCTCAAACAAACAAAAAACAAAAATGGACAATACATGTAATGCATTCGTGTTTGTGTATGTGTGTTTGTCTGTGCATAAATGCATGAATCAAGGAAGCATCCATAATGAATTTTATATCTTTGTTTGCCAAAACATGTGTGTGTTGGGTTATTCGACCATTGTCAATCATATTGATACAATCCAAATTTCTTTTTGGTTAAATTGAGCTGTGGATCATTGAATGCATGCATTGATTACATAATGATTATTATTTCACTTTTTTTTTGGATCCAATATTAGTGTTGATTGAAGTTCAAATGAAAGAAACACACACAATCAGAAAAATGAGAGAAAAACAAAAAGAAACAACGTAGATAAAATAAATTGAGTGTGAAAGAGAAAAGTAGGAAGCAAATTTTTTTCAAATCCACCATCAAAAAAAATGGATTCAAATAAAACAATCAAATATGAGAGAAAGAGAGAAAAACTTGCATAAGACCTCGACTAAGGTCACAATGACCTTATTTTAATAGTTTGTTAAAATTGTCTATGTGTGAGTCTGTCCATTTTTTGTCATTTATGTTTTATTCTTCCTGGAAAAAAAGAGAAATTTCATTTCATTTTGTGTGTGTGTGGACGCAAATTTTGATTCGGTTCTCAAATTAAATCAAATAGGAAAAAAAACTAAATAAAACACATACGCAATTGCATATGTAAAAGAAAGAAAACATACAAAAAAAAATAATCCAAAAGAGATGCAACAATTTGCCGAACAACGAAAAACAAAACGATTATTACGTCGAAATAGGAAAGCGATAGGGGAGAGGAAAAAAAAATTCACATAACATAACATTCGTCGAACGACATTGATGATGTAGAAAAATTATGTTTCCGTATTTGTTTTTTTTCAATAATTTGCAGGCTATAGAATGCAATCTTGAAAACCGAATTGACGCAATAATCTGAATATGTAAATAGAAAATGATGATTGTCGATTTATTAAATGATGATGACGTTTTAATCATTTTCAATTTCAATTTTTTTTATTTTGTTTCATTTCGTAAATATTTGTATCTATTTAATTTTTGTTTTTTTTTCAAATTCAAAAATAGATTCAATAATGTTAAAAAATGTAAATTTCTCATGATAGCATCATCATCATTGTCATGTCAACGACATTTTTTGATCCAAATGTTTTGAAAGAAAAAGAAAGAAAAACTAAACAAATTTCAATTCAATTGGCAATAGGCATGGCAATTAACAACAAATTAAATTCATAAATTCAATCAATAAATCGGACAAAAAATTTCATAATTTTGTTTGGAAATCAAATAATAGAATCAGGCGAATGCGTAAAAAAAAGAACAAACAATTTTTCAATGTTGTTATCGAAACTGACCACTATCAGAATTTTTTTTCTTCTTGCTTTGTTCATTGTTTGATTAGTTACAAAATATCCAAATTCGATTCGATTATTACGAAATAATTATCATTCTAAATTGTACCCGTCGTCATTGGATTGGTGATTGAATTTTTGTTGTCGACATCTCATCATTGTTGTGATAGTAGATTTCAACACACACACACACACACATGGATTTTAATCCCAAGGATTTTCACTTTCGAAATCGACCAAAACGAAACAGAAAAAAATCAATTTATAATAGTTACCCTAATTGGTAATTTAATGTGATAAGCTTATTGTCTATCTCTTTTTATAATCGAAATTCAATTGTAACAAATTCTGTATCAATTCAGCTACGTTTTTTTCATCACTATATTATTATATTCTCTATTTGTTTCTGTTTTTATTATTATTATTATAACTACCTTTGATGGTTTGAATGTTTTTTTGGTTTCGTAATTTTCTTCTTCTTTTTCGTTCATAAACGAATGTTTATGTTGTGGAAGATTTTGATGATGAAATTTTATCATAATTATTGCAGGAATTTCAGTGTGTACGGTATAATTTTATTTAATTTGATAGAATTTAATTATCATTTTGATATTGAAATAAAATCCATCTGTTTGTTTGATTGATTGGATAAATTATTTTCAAGATTTTTATTAATTGATCGATTAATTAATTAGCAAATTATTGATTTCAAATATCATCCTTTTTATTACGAAAAATGTTTCATTACAAGAAAAACAAACATTACGAAATTTGAAAAAAAAAATTAAAATATGGCTTCCCTTCCGACATCGAACAACAACAACAACGACAACGATACGATAGATGCGTTTGATGATTATTTCATCAATACAACTTTATCAATGATTCAATTTTTTTTTCATTCATACACAAACAAAACAAAAAAAAATCATTTATATAATTAAATATTACATATATGGACTCATCATTTGTTGCTTTGTTTTAGGCATTATCATCTATACATTTTATATGGTAATTTTTTTACTTCTTTGATATCCGGAAATCTATTAATACCTAACATCCAAAACAAAACAAAAAACACATCATGTATCAAAATATTGATGAAAAAAAAATTGGCATTGTATTTTCCATTTTCTAAATAAAGAGAAATTTAGTGAAGAAAAAAAAACATTGAAACAAAATTGTCGTTGACATTGAATATATATTTTTTTTCATTTAAACATTTATTTTGTTAGTCTTTTTCTTCTGAAATTTTGCAATATGTTATTTTCTAAAATGCTGTTTTCATTCATTTCATTCCATTCCATTCATCGATTCGATTCATTTGTTGTTTGCCATGAAAATAAATGTCTATGTTGTAACCGAATACAAATGATAAAACTAATAGAATTCTAATGAAATTGAAATTTCATTTTTGTTTTGTTTCTCTGTTATCACACGCACAACGAAAAAAAAACTATATTTAAAAATCGATTCTGGAAATAATATTTTTGGATGGGTGAAACCCTAGCAAAAAAAAAACGGAAAAGAAATTGCGAAATACTTGAAAAAGCTAATAATTGCCATCATTCAACAAAAAAAAAATGTTTGATTGCAATCAAAAACTTTTTTCTTTTCACTACAAAAATGACCGCAATCATGATTTTTTAAAATTCTATCAATATTTGATTAGAAAGATAGGAAAAAAGAGTGTGTTTGCGTGTATAAGAACCGAAAATGGAGCCTGAATTCTTTATTTTTTTCAATTTTTTTTTTGTCAGTTCAATTTTACGCCTAGTTGTGTTTATATATTTCAATATTGTAATAATGATAATTATGATAAATTATGTGTGTGTGTGTGTATGTATGTTTCACAAACTTGATGCAACAAGCTCCAAATAGGACTTTGAACTTTTTCGTTTGTTTAACATATCTGTTGTATTTGTATTTATGTGGTACATTAGTTTTATGATTGCAATATTGATTGTCGACAAATTTTCTCGTAACCGTCCTGATACAGAATGAATGAATGAAATGTAAAATTCAAAGAAAATAGATTGAAATCAAATTCAATCATCTAATGTATAGCAGAAAACATATTATCATAGCATAATTGAATAAAATTGATAATTGAAAATGATAAGAGGATTTTTTTTCATTTTGATAAAAATTAAATCATTTTTCAAATTTCACCAATTTAGCGCCATCTTTTAAATGATAATAAAATTGAAAAGTTTTTTTACAGATAGATGGCGACTATTAAGCTCACATTGTTTATCTATTCGGTTTATTTGTGATTCGATTTTTATTTAAATTTTTTCGAATACAAAATATTGATTCGAAAAAATGTCTGATAATAATGAATATTATACCGTTATCCGTGTGAAACGGAAATATGTTGATGATCCTAATCGTCAAGATCGTTATGATTCAACCGTAACGAATAAACGTCTTCGTCATATTGGTTCATTTTCACAGAAACATGATGAAATAAGTTTAAATTCACAGAATTTACTAAAGAAAATGGGTTTCAAAGATCGAAAACGTATACGATTTAATGATTTTGATGATGATAAGGAATTCTCTTCATATATAAATGATAAACAAGATCAGAAGGATAAGGAATCCGTACCGAAAAAATGTAAATCAACCAATTCTGAACAAATTAATGATGAAAATATTTTAAACATATCATTACCGCCAAATGATTCAATTGATTTGAATCAATCAAATACAGGTGAGATAAATCGTAAATTATTTTTATATTTATCTAATTGATTGAATATTTACCTTGTAAAGATAATAAAAATGACCATTCTACGATTACTTGTAATGGGATGTCCATGATAATGGCAGACAACTCTAACGTCGATGAATCAATAATTAGCCGTCAGGATAAATATCTGTATGATTATTATATCTTGATGGATGATTTAATGGAATTTGTTGAAAAAAATGATAAAGGTGATTATGATATCGATGGAAATAAAAATAGCAATATGTATGATGATGATGAACCATCAAGCAATGATGAAAATTATCGTTATAATGATTATCCGGATGAAGATGAATTCTCCGATGATGAAGACAAAGAAGACGACGATGATGATGATGATGAAGAATGTGGTAAAAAGAAATTTGACGAATTTGATGAAAACGAAGATGAATATCTAGATAGCATTGATAATCTTTGTGATGATTTCGATAAATTCTATCATCATGATTATGATGGTGATACCGATGATGACGATGACGATGATGAAGTTTATGATCGTGAATGTGATCAAAAGATTATGAATTTACGGAAAATTTAATTGTTTTAAAAACATCTTCATTATCTGTTGCAAATTGTATAAATAAATCATTGAATTATTGATTTTTTTCGATTTTGTTTTCCCATACACTAATCATTTGACCGGCAAATTTTTTCTGTATAAATCTGGCGATTTTCTCATATTGAGAAAAAAAAAATAATGTTTAATCAATAATCTGATTAATGACTAACAGATTGTTTCTTTTCTTTGAGAATAAATAATTCCTGGAAAACGATAATATTCTTGTTGAATTCAAATAAAATTATAAATCGATATAGTCTTTCATTTTGTTTTCTAAATTTCAAATTGAATTTCATTTTTATTATTATTATTAAAATGTCCAAATGACACGCAATTGTGTCGCCACCAGTCTTGACGAATCATTCATGCATTGAAAAAAAAAGGTAACAGATAAAAACGTGTGTCTTTAGTGCATTGTTCATAATAAAAAATTTTCTGCCGAAAACAACCAACTAAATTTTTTTTATTCATTTTCCAGATCTGTATCAGGCTCAACATTGTCATCATCATCATATCCAATATGTCTATCAACAAATATTGTAAGAAAAGAAATCAAAATCAAATCCAACTATCAAATGATGATAACGATGACAAAATTCAATCAATATATGATAATAATAATAAAAATTTGAATAACAACGACCATAATGATATCGATAATGATAATGATAATAGCCAAAATATTCCGACAAAACGTCGTCGTCATTGTGACATGATGACAATGACAATAGATAAAAAATTCGAATGTGAAAAACAAATTATTATTGATGTTGATGATGGTAAGTCATATTATGATTATTTCTTTGTTTTATTTTTTTCATTGATTTCTGATTAATATATTGTTCTCATTTCCAAAATTTGAAACAAAACTTGACTTGTGTGTTTCATAAATATTTGTACATGTGCAGTTTTCTTGTTTCAAGTCTAAAAAAAAATATTCTTGTTTCAATACACATGCATGCTTCTACATAACAAAAATGAAAAACATGATAATGTGTGTATTGGAGTTTTCCCAAATAAATTGCAAATACATTTTAACCATTTTATCAATAAACATCATATACTAATGCTACTGCTTTATTATATAAAAGTATAGCCTATGTATTTTTTCATTTATAAAAAACCAAAAAGAAAAAAAAATGATGGTCTCATCATCATCATCATCATCATCTTTTTATTTGATGCGATATAAATAAAAAGCCAGACAGCACCGGCATTATTTTCTGTTGCTTCAATCGAATATAGCAAAACATTTTTTACTTGTTAGCCAGAACGTGTTTTTTTTTCTTTTTTGTTGATTTTCATTAAATATTTTCATCAGTAATAATAATTTGACGATCATTACTTTGATTTTGGTCTTTCAATTATCATTTTTTTAAAAAAATTCGATAAAATTTTTCTTTTTTTGTTTTAGGTAAGTCTTTTTTTTACTGTAATTTTTTTCTATTTCAACTGTTTTTGTTTCATATTATAATGAATCAAAAGAATTCCTTTTGGGCATAAAATGATCATTATATTCTTTTCATTACAATTAGCTATTCATCAATTTGTCAATTTTAATACTTCAAATGATGTGATTATTTATTTGCCTTTCACATCACTTTTTGATCATTTAGTTTCAATCAACATAAATAATATAATTTTTATAAATCTAAAAATCGTTTGAAACAAAGCATCTCATCATTATTGATTGCTAAGTCATTTTAACATTTTCATTATTATCACTTTGATTATCCATTCTGATGATAATTGATAAAATTATAATGTTATCTTGTATGTGTATGGATTAACTATTTTTTTTTAAAAAAAAGACTGTTAATAGATAATTTTAGTGTATGAAAGTTCCAGAAATATAAAAGACCAAAAGTATGTCCTTCACCGGTTCACCTTGAACACATGATGTTTTTCCATGTTAATTATCAACTCTATTCACAAGTGTGAGAAAAACAATCATCATACAAGCCTAAATGTATATGCGTATGTCTTACACAACAAAAAAAAATGGCTGTTGATGATGATTTTTGTTGTTGTTGAACATATATCATTATTACATTAAAAGTAGCCGTTATATAATTATGATTGTCACCCTAAAGATGGCGCACAAACTTATTGAATTTTTTTTTTCGATTATTTTTTCGAAATTGATTTTTTTTTTCTGTTGTTGTAAAATCTTTATTCTCAACTAATGGCAACATCTTAATTGTTGTTTGGTTAGTTGATTTTAATGTTATTCTTTTTTTTTTTGAAATATACATGTTGGTACACACTTGTTTGAGTTTCTTTTTTTTTTGCTTGGCTAATTAGGATGCTACTACTACCAATTTTTTTTCATAGTTACCTTGTCTCTTAGTCCGCACCTTATTTAGGAATGTCCAAAATGATAGTTAACGTGATTCATTCAATAACAGGTTGCTGTGAATAAGCACATTCATTTAACTCACAATCTCACACACCTACCGTACATGATTATGTGATGACTTGTCAGTGAATTCCGATTTTATAAAAAAAATTGATGCCATTCCGTTCGTGTTCCGTTCACCGTGTTGTGTTCGTTTTTTTTTTTTGAATTTTGTTTTTTCATTTTTTGACAAAATAAAATTCCTTTTTTTCATCATTAGTCACCAATAGATTTTTTTTTGAATTCCTTTTTATAATCACTTCATTTTATCGAACTTTCGAACAAATAACTTTTTGCATTCAATTGTCTATCATTCATACTATTTTCTGTGTGTGTGTATGTGTGTCAATCTAGCCGATCTACATCTTCATCTGCTATAATTATCATTTTTAGTCAGACAAACCCTTTTTTTTTATTTGTTTTAATTCGTAGACTTAATTTTCCAGGCAATTATGTCATTCTTCAACAAGGCATTCAAACCAAAACGAAGTAGGAATGAATTTTTTTCATTGAAATCTATAGGGCTTGTCCGAATGTTTGTTTGATTTTTGATCAATCAAAATCATTCATTCATTTTCTTTTGTCATTTCCTTTGATCATTAATATTTTATCTTTGTATTTGTTCATTTTGTGTCATTTTATCCATTCATCCGCCCAAAGAAACTTTTAGTTTTCGAATCCCATCGGAAACTGCTTCGGAAATTTCGAGTTAGTTTTTTTTTATTTCTCATAATTTTATCATATTTTTTTATCATTTATTTTTCCATTTTTATCTTTTTTTTTGGTTGATAATTTTAAATTGATCATATTTCTTTTTCAAATAAATATTTGATAATTTTATTTTTTTGTATTTTTCTTGTTAACGCCTATAGTAACTTCTCCCGACGTACGTGAAATGGCTGAATATAATTATCCACGAATTCAGAAACCTGCCCCACAATTCAAAGGTACTGCTGTTGTTGGTGGTCAATTCAAAGATATTAGTCTTTCCGATTACAAAGGCAAATATGTTGTACTCTTTTTCTATCCAATGGATTTGTAAGTGTCTATATTTAAAACTTAAATAATTATCTTATTATTTTTTTTTTGTTTGTGATTAAAACATAGTACTTTTGTATGTCCAACTGAAATTATTGCATTCAGTGAACGTGCCGATGAATTTCGTAAAACAAACTGTGAAGTGATCGCTTGTTCAACTGATAGTAAATTCACTCATTTGGCATGGATTAATACACCACGTAAAGAGGGTGGATTAGGCGAAATGCATATCCCATTGTTGGCCGATAAGAATGCTAAGATTAGCCAAGATTATGGCGTTTATCTTGAAGAAGGTGTACCATTGCGTGGCTTATTCATCATTGATGATAAGCAAATTTTGCGTCAAATTACTATCAATGATTTGCCAGTTGGACGTAGCGTTGATGAAACATTGCGATTGGTACAGGCTTTTCAATACACTGATGTACATGGTGAAGTTTGCCCGGTCAATTGGAAACCAGGTTCGGACACTATTAAACCAGCACCAGATAAGAGTAAAGAATATTTCAATAAAAATCATTGAAATTCGGGCAAATCATCAATTTTTAGCCTATTGATGATGAAAATGTGCTGTAATACGGTCCAAACCACTCATTCAATCAATAATCAAAACAATGAAATTGGATAGAAACATAAATGTGTAGCCTGAAACATACATTTCACAAAAAATACCAAAATAATTCCTTTGAATACAAATTTTTTTTTCACCAAATTGTCTTTATTAATAATTCGATGAATAATGATAATTAAAACATTGAAAATATTTCAACAAAATTTTATGTTTATATTTATGGATTACATTTTTGATGTGTGTGTGTGTATGTGATATTATGGTGAAATTCAGTCGTCAGTGGTTTTTCCCAAATTCTATTGGCAATAATATTTATGAATGTTGATGATGTGTGATGATTATGGCGATATCTGGCTTGAAGATTTTTAAACTAATTATTTCTTTTAGCCAATATTTGCACGAAAATAATCTCGTTCATTAGGTTTATAATAGAATGTATTAGCCGGTCTTGCAAATGTAACATCCACTGGACCTAGGCAAATTTTCGGTTCGGAAAAGAATAAACATGCTTTACGTGATGACATACGATGACGTTTGATTAATTGACAGCAAAGACCATGACTTGCATCACATTCACTACTTGTTGTACATTCAGCATCTATTCATTTTAATAGATCAAAATAAAATAATTAATCAAAATCAAATGATTGAAAATTCAGATTCAAGAAAATAGGAAAAAAACGCGAAAAAATATTCAATTGACAATAATAAATATATTCAGGTGTAACAAATTTGAAAAACAAGATCATCATCATCATCGTAAATACTAAATAATTGATGTGACAATTTCATTAAAAAAAATTCATCATCATTCAACCGAATTCTAGTTTTTAAAAGACATTGATAATTTCGTATTCAGGTTGATGATGATGATTATAATGATAGACCTTTTAAGATGAGATTATACATTATTTATCGTTTGTCGTTTATTTTTTTTTTTAAATATCCAATTCTCTATAAATACTAATTATCAAGGAATAAACTTTTTTTTTTGGTAATTTCAAATTATATCCTTCATTTCAAATTCAAAGGGAATTTGGATTTTTTTTCAGTCTTCATAATAGCTAACTAGCTTACTACTAGGATTCCGTTTCCGATTGAAGACATGAATGAATTTATTGGGAAAAGTAAAATAGAATGAATAAATACAGTATAAATGTGTGTTTGTGTGTGAGCGCGGTTATTATCATGTATAGATGATTACAGACAATCGAAATTTAATGGGGTAAAAATTGGAAACAAATAGAACAAATTTGTAATCATTGAACAACATCACATATATTTCCTGATTGAATCGAAATCGAATGCTAATAAAGAATCGATCGGAAGTCGACAAATGATTTATTCAGTCACACACACACACATACAAATACGAACAACAACAACAGGAAGAACATTCAAGTTTAATAATCAAGTCCGTTTTTTCTCCCTATTCTGATGATAATGATAATAATAATAATAATAATAATGACAGGCAACAAAATCAAACTAGAATGAATAGATTATAACAAACAACATTTACAATTGACAATTGTAAATGTTGAAAAAATTTTCAACAGGATATGTGTTTTATATTGAACAAATGAATGTAAAAATAAAAAAAAATTTTTTGCCGTTTTATAATCATCATCATCATCATCATTATTATTATCAAATCGAAATCATTCCAATAACGATGATCATAAGATTTGACTGATGATAATGATATGCATTTTGTAAATAAATTCTTTAGTTGATGATAGCCATTCTCTTTTTACTGTATTGAAAGTTTTTATTTTTATTTTTCTTGAAAACCTATTTCCTTTTCTCGAATTTCATTACTATCAAAGCAAAGCAACAACAAAATATAAATATTTTAAACTAAGCTTCAAACATGAAACTTGAGACTCTCACTGTTCTTCTTTCGTACGGTAAAAGAAAATGTTTCGACAACAAATATTTCATGTTAAAAATAAAAAATTTAATTTACACAAGTAGAAAAAAACAAATATAAACAGAATTCAATTCACAAATACAAACTTTTCTATTCCATGGACATTGTGATTACTGTATTTTTTTTCTTCATCACCTCATATCATTTGAAATGATGTTTTTGTTACCGACAAACAAACAAAAAAACAACAACAAGAAAGTTGATACAAACAACACACACATACACATTTATACCATCATTATCATCATCTGAGCAACAAGATATATATGAATCGATTATTCAAATTTTTAACTTGTTATTATTTTAAAAATGGTCTCATTTTACTGTTTTTATCATGAATAACTTTTTTGTTGTTGTTGTTGTTCCTTCATACATTCATCGAAATAGTAAACTTGATATTAAGAATTGAAATATTTCAAGGTTCATATATCGGTATGGTATGGTATATTTATGCAATCCATCATCAAAGTCCAAAAAACTGTAAAAAACTATAGAATATTCAGGAAGAATATTAAAAGGTTGATCCCAAATCCCATGAGTGTTAAACTTGTCGAAATCAAGGGAAAGAATGCAGAACAAAGAGAATGAATGTGAGATTGAGGGTAAAAGCTATTTTGAAAATAAAGTTTGGCGCTTTGTTTCCTCAAAAAAAAAAAAAATGAAATTTGCTGATTATGATCATTTACTATACTTTTTCTGGGGATTGAAATCGAAGATTATGTATATAATTATACACTTATTGGTCGTCGTTATATATTGATCGGTTAATGTTAAAATGAAATTCTGAAAAAAAACTTGACTGACAGAAAATCGAACAATAGCCTAGTGGTGGTTATAATTTATCATCGAAAGTCAATTCAATTCAACGAATGTTCCATGTTACAGAATGAAAAAAAAGTGTCAAGCGTTTTAGAAAAAAAACAATCAACGAGTTACGTGTGTGTGCGTGTATTGGACATTTTAACATGCAAATATGCATGATTTGACAGATTGATTTTTATTTTTCCTATTCTTTTTCATGGATCGAAAATTAATTTTCTTCTTTCTTCTTTTCAAATTCATTCAGATTTTATTATTAACCAACAATTTTTTTTCTTCTCTCTATTTGCGTGTCCATGTTTTTTTAAGCCGATAATTCGAAAAGAATGAATGGCAAAAAAAACTATTATCACAGAACAACAACAACAACATCATGTTAAAGCGTTAAATCATTCAAGCGATCTTTTTTTTCTTCTTCTTTTATTTTCAATATTTGGAATGAATGAATAAAATGAAATGAGATGATCGATTCGAACAAGAATGGCCAAGACAAGATGATGACGCGCCCGTTAATGTCATGTGGAATTTTTTTTTTCCTCTTTTAATAAAAGACTACGGTAACCATCACCAAACAAGAATGACACAAAGAGCAAGTAGAAAATTGTCAGTCAATCAGTCAAGATTTTAATCTGAAGTCACCAGAAAAAAATACGAAAGAATTTTTTTCCAAATCAAAAAATTGCAAGTATATTAATGCAAATTAATAGGCTTGATCGAAACTGTTACAGTGATGATGAATAACAGCAACAGAATTGGAAAGTGAAAGTGCTTTTTCTGAACACAAGTGAAAAAAAAGCAGCCATCCATTTTTTTCCATCACTGATTACCGACAGCACTCCCTTTTAAAACGTATAGTTTTCTCTCTCTCTATCACAAACATTGATTTATCCATGCAAATTTTTTTCTTTATTTTTTTCTAGTGAATTTGATCATTGTACTTGACACGCAAACGGCGATCTATTGGGGCGTCACTTTTTTTTACTCAATGGATTCTGTTGGTGAACAAGAGAAAGAACAAAAAAAAAAATAGAAAAGAAAAATTCATTTTCCAAGTTCAAACTGAAAAGAAAAATTCTTCAACATGAAACATGAATAAACCACTCAATCACTATATTGAAACACATTATTCATATAAACTAACTATAATATATATGAATTTCTGGACATATAAATATAAGAATGTAAATTCTATTGAACAAAAAAAAAGAAAGAAATTACATCATACATCAAATTCAATATAATATGGCCAATACAATTAACTTGTCAATTGAATAATTTATATCAATTATATGTGTTTGAATTATTGTTACCAATTTAGATAAATAAAGTAAAAGAATGATTATCATTATGATTCATTTGTTTTTAACGGAACTTACTGAATTGCTTTTTAACCATTTCCTGTCCAGGTGGTTGACAGATTCGTTGCTGTTGATTTTTTAATTGATGTAAATGTTGTTGATGTGAATTGATTATTGATGATGATTGTAATGATGATGATGATGATGATGATGATGAAGATGATGGTAATAATAATCGACCATCATTATCATCATTGAATATTAAAATTGTTTGTGGCATACAACGTAAACCAGTTTCACAATCACCATCATCTGTACATGAATCACCTTCATTTACACCATAAATTGGTAAACATGTTCCTGTGGTCACTATGAACAAAACAGAAAAGAAGAAAAGAACAAAATTATTATCAAATGTATAAGATGAAAATCACTATCATTCATTTAACGCCTTGTTTTTTTACACTTTTTTTTTGTTCAATAATTAATTATCGTAATGAATGAATTGGAACAAACATGAATTCTATATGTGAAATATTTTTTCTTTTCTCTTTTTGTGTTATATGGAATGTATTTGGAAAGATATCAAAATGTCGATGACAGTACATTAATCATCATCATCATCATTCGATATGATGATTTTGGATCAATAATTTTTTCATTTTATTTTTGTACCGCGAAGCCGTTTTTTTTTCATTTTTGTTTTCGTCGAAAGTCGGAAACAAATTCTCTTTTTTTTCATATAATCAAAATTGTATATATAAAATGTTTATATTGTTGGTGTAACCTTGTTTTGTTACCAATTTAGCAATTATATCTTTTTATGTCAGTATTATTTGTATTTGGTTAGATATTTCGTATGATATTTGTGTGTGCTCAATTTGTTGATTAATGGACCTTAGAAATATTGGTATATGTAATGATGATATGATATATATAAAAATAAAATAAAATAAGAAATGTTTGACACATGTATCGTTTTGTTGTGTATGTCAAGAAAGTAGATGAGAAAAGAATTCAAACGAATTTGCCCTCTATTTTTTTTCCGTTATGTTGGCAGTAAATTTGTTTCAATTTCATTTGTACATAATTTGGCTAATTTTTTTCTGTTCATTTTTTTTCTTAGCACCTCTCACGTTTTATGATTAAAGAAAATATGGTTAAAGAAAGAAAAGCAAAAACGACCCTAAACCACACGACGACGATGATGGTGATGAGAAAAGAAAATTTGTAATCAAAGAATCATAATGATCACGACAAGATGTTGTTGGTTGTGTTTGTATGTTTCCGGAACACAAAATTCTTGAAAAATCATGTCACACACACACATACACACAAACCCAAACAAACACAAGGAAAGAATGAAAAAGAAAAACGGAACATCATTGATGATGGGAACCATGGCACCCTATCTTTATAAAATGAATGACGTTAATGAAATGTAAATGAGTTTTTGCACTTTTATTTATTACGTGAGAAAAAAAAGAGCCCGAAAAAAAAATATCCGATATAAAGATACACTTTTAGAATGTGATTGGTGTTTTATATACAATATGTTAGTAGTTAGATGTTATAGCATTAATTAACTTGTAACAACAAAAAAAAACTTTGAGCTAAATATTACTATTGAATAAATAAAAAAAATCTGCCATTGGAATAAATTCTTTAGCAGTGTATTCACTATACTTTGTTCTTATGATTATTATGTATGTTTACTCGATAGGCAAATTGAAGCAAATTAAAAGATGATGATGACAGACTTGATTGGCAACTAGATAGACAGGATAAATAGATATGCCATACATTTCCCCGAAAAAAAAAGAATATAGAAATACTATCTACGGGCAACAACAACTACAACGAAAATGGCGACAACAACAACAACAACAACAAGGGCCATTTGGGGCTAAAATTCAATAGAATTGTTCACATTTGCTGTCTTTACATTTCATCCATTCGAATTATATCCCTCTCTTTTTTTTCCCATTCACAAATATGTGTGTGTTCAAACCAATTTGAACAATAATTTATCTAATTTATATCTATCCATCTATTTTTTTGCTATATTTACACTAATAAGAATGGTCGATCAGGCTAAATTTGTTCGTTGAAACGATGATTATGATCATCAAGTTTTTCTTTCTTCCTATAGTTGCTTGTCATTCCATACGATCAAATTGGGTTCCATCTATGATTCTATTAGCGTGTGTGTGTGTGTGTGTGTTTGAGATAAAAAGAGCGAGAAATTTTTTTCTTTTTTTCGTTCACAAAACAAATTTCATTCGCAAGTTTTTTTCTTTTTTTTCTCTCTCTCTCTCTTGCTTTCTAAGAATAATGATAGTAATAGTGTTGTTTGATGTGATGAATGATGAAGATAAAGTATCGTTTTCGAAAAAAAAACAAATTTATTATGAAATTTTTTGAAACTTGTCCGGAATTGACTGAAAAATTTGTGCGTGAAAAATTTTCAAAATGATAATAATCATATCGGAAAGAAAAATCATTTTGAAGTGAGAAATGTGCAAACAAGCTATATTTTCATAATTCAAACATAATTTAACAAGTTTGTTTCGATTTATGATCATTATCATCAAACGATCATTACATGATTGATTTTTGTATTGTTGATTTTGCCTGCCAAAAAAAAAATCGATAGTGAAAATAAGAAAAATTATTCATTTTTAACAATATAATTTATGTTATGTTATTTAATGATTTTTATTTCAAGTGAAACTCAAAAAAACTCTCTCAAACAAAACGATTATTGAATTATGATGATGATAATTCAATGAAACTACAATAATCATGGTAATAAATTCAAAAATAGTTCAAAAATTTTGAAACGAAAAAAAATAAATCAAATTCATACGAATCGTTGAAAATGTAATGACATTTACATAAAGTGTTTGTGTTCATCGTCGTTGTAAATACACACAGACCATACAATAATAATAACAAAATAAAGATTTTAATTTTCAATTTATTTTTATTTCATTTTTTCATTCATGATTTTTTTTCCATTTCATTATCATTATTATTTGGTTCAATTCCATTTCGAATTATAAAATGATTCTATGATTGAAATGAAAAAAAAGTCATCATGGGAAAAAAAGAACGAGAATTTATGAATATGAAAAAAAAATATCAGACGAATAAATAAATAATAATTCAAATTCAATTCAATTTTTCAAAGGGTTTAATTTCGTTTCATTTATGCAATGTTGTGAATTGAATTTGGAAAATGAATGATTTTTTTTTGTTGAGCAATGGTTGTTGGAATTATTTTCTCTAGCCTCAATTTATTTATCTTGTTGAAAGTTAATTATTATCGTTTGTTGATGTTGTTGTTGTCTGTTGCTTTGAGATGTGTTTTCTTTTTTGCACTGATTTTTGACGAATTTTCATTTTGAATTTATAATGAATTCGTTCAAAATAATTGCTGTATTGTAATCCATACTTATCTAGACAGATCAGCATATTTTTTTGCATAAAATTGAAAAAAAATTTGTCCATTTTGAAAAAAAATTCATTTAAAGGCAAATAAATGCAAAGAATCTCTCCAGCCTAATGAGTATGGCCATTAATTATTGTTGTAGAATACCATTGATGATGCTCATCAACATCATGATGATGATGATGATGATGGTCTATCATGTATGTTCAGTCGAGCATCAATTTACACAACACAACACAAATTGATTTAAATATAAACAACGAATTGTTCATGCTTCGATGATCACCAGAAAAAAAAGAGAAAAAAGAAAATTAGGTGAAGAATAAAAAAAAGGTAAATTTTCCTGTTTTTCATCTTCCCTATTTTTTTATATGTGTGTCTGTTTCGATTCTCATGAATACAAATTGGCCTCAAATGATTGGCTCATTTAGGTATCACAAAAATAATCAAGAAGAAAAAAAACAAGGAATCGGGGTAATCAAACTCAATTTGGATGAACCATCATTTCAAAATACTGATTGTTTTTCTCATTTTCGATTCTTTTTATTCTGTTTTATTTTTGAAGTATACGATTACTTGGTAATTTTTCTGCACACACGCAGCTAGATTCTTATTGAAAATTTACTTTCTTGTTCAATTGATTGAATATATTATATGGGTTTTCAGTTGAGAATTTTTTTTTGCATTCATTCATCGTTGAAATTTATTATTCACTCTCTCAATATATATTCATTAACAATCATTTAGCCTGAAGCAAATCTGATATCACATACTTATAGTTTTAAGATCTATTTGAAAGAGAAAAAAATTCTGAATAAACAATATTATATGATCATGATCATCATTAATAATAATAATGTTCAAAAATCATAATCAACAAAGATTTGTGGATGTATATATGTGATCATTATCGATTCATGAATTTATTAAGGATGAGAGAGAGAAAAAAAATTCAAACAATTGTTATTATTTTTGCCAACTAAAATCTTTAAGATTATTGCTAAAGTAACAATAATAATGATGAACAAATCATATTATTGACTAAATTAACTGAATTTCATTGTAAATTTGTTTGTTTCTTGTGTATCGATATCGTTTCAATTCTCTTAGAAATAATAAGAAAGTATATCGCTATGAAACAAATTCTACTACTGTTGTTATTTGCTTTTCATGATGATTATGTTGTATTATTCATAACAACAACGAAAAAACACAGACAAACAAATGGTCAAATATATAAGATAGAAATTAGATTTGTCTATTTTTATTCTTCGTTGATGTAACGAACATTTCATTCATAGAATAAGAAAAACATTGTTAGCAAATTGAATTTACCGAATCAATTTTGAATCTAACAAAATAATTATAATAGATATTCATCCTGTATCCATAGTGATTTGAACATTCGAATTGAAAAAGAAATCGAATATATACAAAATAATGTCAATTACGATGAATGAATAGAAATTCTCGAATTTTTCATTGATATTTAATTGAATTATTTTTTTCAAATTGAAATTCATTCGAAATATTGATGAATAAATTGTTTGTAGAAAAAAAATGATAGTAACCAGAACATAAATTGAAACTCACCTGGTCTCTGTTTATTATTATTCATCGATGATAATGATGATGATGAATGTGAATGTAGATCAACACAAACGGAACCTGGACAGCATTGTTCACTTTGTACGCATGGTTTTTGTAAACATTTTTCTTCACCTTGTGAAAGTATATCTTCTAATTGCATATCTCGGCTCTATTACGGAGAAATAAAAAAAGATAAAAAATAAAAAACATGATCAAGATCAGTGGCCAAAGAAAAAAAAGAATAAATCATTAATCGTATTGTGAAGATATTTTCAAACACAGGAAACTACAGGATTAATAATGAACCAGAAGTAAGTCAATAAAACGAAATGAAAATAAACAAAACAAAAATAATAATAATAAAAAATAATTGAATAAAATCAACCTAAACAAAGTTACACAGTATGAGTTTAAGTTTGTTTCCATTTCCATTCATTATATTACATTTTGTATTTTATTCAATTAATTTAAGATTAAGAATCGTATTACAAATCGTATCATCAATGATGAGTGAATTTACTTGTTGTTGTTGTTGTTCGATAAGTATGTAGAAAATAGAAAACAACATCGATTTTAACCTTATTATTTTTGTTTTTCACTTTTAAGTATATTCTCTATGATAATGATAATAATGATCATGATGATATCACTCGTTGAACTCTAAGTATTTATCCGGAATCCGAATTTATATAATTCATTCTTTTGGATTCTAGTTTGATGAATTTTTCGTTCATTTCATTGTTGTTGTTGTTGTTGTTGTCAGGAACTATTATGGGAAAAAAGTTTACAAATTCTAAATTAAGCCATTATATTTGGGGCTTTTTTCACAATTATTACCAAAAGGAAGGATCAAAAATTTTTCTCTTTTTTTTGTTAATTAAATTTAATTTCATGTATCATATTGTAAGATAATGTTATTTTTTTTATTTTGAAACAAAAAAAAAGAGAGATAAAAAATGATATATTTTTTTAAAAAAGGAAATTCATTTGAGAATTATCTCAAATGAAGTGCCTTTGTTTTATGTTATTTGATATTAACAAACGGGAAATAAAAAAAAAACAAGGTGTACCAAAGGGAAAAAAAGTAATGGTTTTAATCCAGTTGAAAAGACAAAAACTGATGAGTAAATGGCCAACTGTCGAATATTGGTCGATGTTTTCATTATAAAAAAGAAAATTTCTTCTTTTCATTTTAACATTATTAAATGAGAAGAATTCATTGAAAACAACAACTTGACACTTGTACCATTTATTGTGCGTGTCAATGAATGAATGAATGAATTCTATGTTCGTTTTGTTTAAAAATATATTCGAAATTGATTATCTTGTGATGGGCGTATTCGATTGAAGATTGACGTGAAAACATAATGAAATTCTTTTACAAAAAAAAAAATAAATAAATACATGACAGTGAAGCCGACTTTCATTTCAAAATTCAATTGAACAAAGCTTTTGCGCAAATGCATTTTCATTTACGATCTTTATGAACGGAACGTTCATTTGGCGTTTTGTGTTTTGTTTTGTTTTGTTTTTTAATATAAACAACAAATGCGTCAGCTTTGAATAAAAAGCCAAAGTATGATTTGTTATTTCATCATTCTCGGTTGTTTGAGTTTGAGTTTAAGTATTTAAGAAAAAACTGAAATAAAATCCAATCAAAAATGGTTTATATAAATTCTCGTGGTGAAATTCTTGAACAAGAACCAATAACATGGAAAACACCATTCAAAATTGTATTACGATTCGTTTGGTTTTTTATCAATTTTTTTCTCACGTTATTCGGTTTAAGTGATCGTTCTGATTCGATGAAAAGATATTTTCTTGGCAGTAGTGGATATTCCAGCGGTGGCGGTAATGATGGTGGTCATGGTCCAGGAGGAGGAGGAGGTGGCGGTGGTGGTTATGGTGGTGGACGACCTCGAAGAATAGCAACATTACCTCGTAACAGTCCGATTGGAATGTCAACTTGTCCGGGTGGATCTTGTGGACGTTAAAATATTTATTCATTTTCAATTCAATTTAATTCCTAAATCATACACAATTTTTTTTCATTCATATTAATGTTGTTTTTAATTTTTTGTTAATCGATGTTTGCGATGATATTTTATATTCAAATATCAAATTTTCATAACAATTTGAAAACATGAATTTTTACAAAATAATAAATTATTAATACAATTAAATTGAATAGTTTGAATGTATGATTTTCCAAATTATACAATATTATCTTTTCAACATCAAACGGAATTCTTTTCTTTTAACAATTCGGTAAAAATGTTATATCATTTTCATTTGATATAGATTCTCTCTTTCTACAAATTTTGTGTGTGTTTGGCATATTATTGTTTGCATTGTATAAAAATTTACATTACTCATTATTGAGATAGATTCTGAAAGTTTTTTTTATTTCATTTATTTCAGACTTCTTTGTTTTTTTCCAACATCGCCAAGAGCATTGTATCCAAAGATATAGACAGGATTTCCTGAATGGTCAAAGTCAATTTATCGGATATCCATTATAATTGGAATGGAATGAAACAAAATGGAATCCAGACCAATAAAGTGAAAGAATAATGGAGGGGATTGATTTACATAAACGTTTTTTATTCAAAAAACAAAAATCTTTTCTCATTCCTTTTTAAAAAATGCACACGCAAAAAAAATCGGAATAAAAATTTTTATCCGGTCCAACGCACGCGCTTTATTTGTATCCTGAATATAACATGATGCATCAATGGTCAAACGAAAGGTTAAAATTTGTCGAACGACATTTATGGAAAAAGTGAGATAAAATTTTGAAACCCGATGAGATTTCAGAATCAACAAAAAAACAACAACAACAAAGTGTAAAACAATTTACAACAAACTATTGAAACAAAAGAATGAAGATTGATCAGGAAATGAAATTTTTCTCTGCATTCTTTGGTGTCTTTTAAAAATGTTGCCATCAAAAAAAAATCAATTGATTTGCACACGAAAATATTTTTCGATCAAAATTATTTCAATAGGGTGATTGTTGATATCATCGATATCAGTGAAAATAGAGAAAGAAATAGAATATAAAGAATCGATCGCCTAACCTTTATTTGACTATTGCTATTGATGTTGTTACTTGTGTTTACATAATAAATTCGTTCGTTTTTATTCTTTCATCCCCGTTTACCATTCATGTCAAATTGTTCTATTTACTTAGATTATTTTTTCTTCCTATTTTCGTTTTTTTTGCTATGACAAATATTACAAACACGAAACAAATAGCCATACAAGAATTTATAACAACAACAACAAAACTGGTGAACAATCAACAGAATGATTCCAAATTGACATATCTTTACTATATTTGATCTTGATTATTATTATCATTATCATTATTTGTTATTATTTATAGAATCAACGATATAAAGCAATAAAGCGACAACATTTTCATTATGATTATTATTATTTGTATTTGTATATATAGACAATAATAATAATGATAATGTCAACAATGACTAAATGAATGTTTTTTGGTGAATGTAATCATCATTGATGATGATTATTTTCAATCATTACTTTCATTGATTTTGTTATACAATCAACGATAAAAACCATACAAAGATAAAGATGTTGTTATATGCAAATGTATGGATGTTTTCTAATTATGATTATTGACTAAAAATTACAACGATTCTGTTTTCAATAGAATGTGTATCTAGGAATTTAATTTTTTTTTTTTTTTGCTGACAAAATTCTGAACAAACCAACAATTGAATCGGACAGTTTTTTCTTTTGATTTATTTCATTCAGTGATTTCAGTTTTTTTTCTTTCTACTAATTAGCCTTCTGTTGTTGTCCGTTGATTTGATTTCGAATCAACGGATTTTTTTTCGAAAGGAACAAGAACCAGATTTTTGTTAATTGTCAATGTTCATGTACAAATAAATGTTTTATTTATATATAGATTGTTTGAATTCATTTATCAATCGTTGATGTGTGTGTGTGTGTTGTATGATGTATTTACTTTTGCCATTGTTTACTTGCTAGAATCGACGTGCTTGATTTTTGATTTCATTTCTGATTTTAATCATATCGTTGGCCAACCATTCTCATTCATTCCTTCAAGCTCACTAACAATTCAGATGATTCAGACATTTTTTTTTTGTATTTTGTATATTAATCATATTTCAATCCATATTTTATCTATCATTTCATATTGCCCAGTGATTTTAAATTAAAAAGAATGCTTTTATCATTCCATTTGACAGGTAAAAACAAAAAAAAGTATCCATCTTATATAATCCAATTGAAAACTTTTACATTACACATTTATAAAAATACATTGATGCCTAATAATGTTTTTTTTTCTGCAATTGCCATAGTAACAGAAAAAAACCTATCTTTACCTTCTCCAATTTCAGTATCAAACTAAAGTAATCCAAAGTTTTTTCTCTAGAATTACTCTAAAGAATTTTTCCATATTTTTTACTTTGCTGAAACAGCAAGTTTTGCCATTTTGCTATATTTTTACCCGACCAGATATAATTGGATACAATGATGACGATTGAACTGTGATTGGATATGATTGTTCCTCAATAATAAGTTTCTATGTATTATTCTGTCGTTTTTATTTTTGTTTTCCTTTCTTACCTAAAGAATAAAATTGCTATGCTTCAATAATGATGAAAAATTTATAATTTTTCAAGTTGGCTTTTGTATTCATTTGTTTGTTTGTTTGTTTTTTATTGTGTCTATATTTATTTTCAAAAAGAAAAAAAATTTATGACCAAAAAGACCAACTATCATAGATCACATTATGTTCATTATAGTCAAATCAATTCATTTCACTTTTGTTCCGTAAAACATTTCTTTCTTTATATCTATAATTTCTTATTAATTAGTTTAGTTTAGTTTGTCGACTTGTTCGATTCATTCATTTATCTATGATTCAATAATTTATTAGAATTGCTTTCATCAAATTATATCCGAATGATGTTGACTTGCTTTTCGCTTGTTCGTTTGTTTGTCTCCAAATTTATCCTAATAAAATTTGTACAATTAACAATCGAAATCAATCACATTTGACCGGATTTTTTGCTTTTGTTCTGTTCTGTTTTGTTTTTGGATTCTTTCAAGAAAATTTATTGTTATTACTAGACGATATATAAACTATTGTCGTCACTATAACTAACAAATGTCATCACCATCATCATTATAATCCATATTTGATACGCCTATGATTACTATAATTAGGTTATATATAAAAAGTCAACATAGATTTCTATTTTCTTATTCAATGACTTTATTATCATAGTATATTAATGTTATGACCGGAAAAAATTTATAGAAAGATTTTGATCAGATCAGAATATGAATCGTGAATGTATTCGAATTGTTTTGTTTTTTTTCTGTTCGTATCAAATTTGGAAAAATTATTAAAGACAATTTCTTTTTTGTTATAACAAAGATAATTCCGGAAATGTTTTTGAATATAATAACTATGGTCAAACATGGAACTTTAATTTTCTTCTTATTTTATGTCAAATGTCAATCGATTTGTCAAAACAATATCCTTATCAATATCGATTTCGTCAACATTAAACTAATATGAATATACAGTTTTTGGGATGGGACTATTATTACTACAAAAAAAAAGAATATAATAATTGTGCGTGAGCTAATTCTTTATCATACAAGAATTGAACGGAAATTTTTTTTCCTTCTACTATCTTCAATCATAATTTTATGCTTCATTCTTTATTTGGTTGTTGTTTTTCTCCACAATTTAAATATATTTCCATTTCGATTTATCATTCACAGTTTTTCAAATTTACTGACTATAAAACGTTATTATTAACCTGAACTATTTTTCATTTGCATACATTTGTGGTCAGTATTCTTTTTTTGACAGTCGAACCAATTAATTGCTACCTTGTTTAGCATATGAATAATAAACTTTATTTTTTTTGTGAATCTATAGAGAATTGAAATCTGTATTACTTTTTGTCAATGATCGTACTTCTTCTATTATGATGATGATGATGATGACAATAATGATTGATGAATTACTGTTACCAGATCTTCAAATATTATATATTGAACAGAGAAAAAACTGACCTAACAACACAATATTATGAATGAATTTCAATGGAGATAAAGAAAAAACAAAAACAAAAATCTAGCTCAAATAGATCCATAAAAAGTAGAATTAAAAAATAAACTGAATTTAAACAACTTCTATGTATGATGATAAAAATTTCTGTAATAAAATTTTGGAATGGGATGGTAGATGTTAGTGATGGTGGTGGTAATTTTTTGGAGATGGCGATAATGACAAGCAGCATTTGTCCCAAAAGACAGCAACAACGTATATTAATATTGATTTCGTAAATGAATGATCGCAAAAAAGGCTATTATTTTTCATCAAATTTGTTCAATTTTTACTTTTCCTATTCTTACTATCTTTTTGTTCACCCCCATTAAATTTGACTGACATTGGTTGGTATAGTGAAAAAAATTGGATTTCATGGCTGAAAAGTAATGTTGTTTTTTTCTCGAAAGTATTCCATTATATGATCATCATTCATGAATCAGTGTATTTAATGATACAAATCCTTTTTACCTCAATTTTTTTTTCTTCAATTGTCTTTGAAATTTTCAAAGAGAAATTGTGACATTTTTTTCGAAAAAAACTGATGATGATAAGAGGATTGTTGAAATTTTTTTTTTTTTTTTTTGAAACAAACTGTCATTTCTGGAATTGGATATTTATTCAATAATTTTGCTTCGTTCCAGATGTGATTTTTTTTCGTTATTGCCAAATTTCATTTCAACAACTTTTCAATTTTTTTTGACAAGTTTAACAAATTTTTTTTTTGTTGATAAATTATGATTTGAAAAATGTATTGACTTATGAAAACTTATTGTTATTCATTTGTTATATACAGGGTGTTTTGTTGTTTTAATCATTTTGATTTCTGTTCTTGTTGTTGTTTCACTATATACTTGATAATGGTAATCACGAAATCATCCAAAGACGATAAATCCAAAGACACAAATAAATGATTTTTGATTCAAATCATTAGTATAAAATTTATATTGTTGACCATTGAAAATATGTGTGTGCGTGTTT